GAACTCAAAGTATTTATCAATTTTATTTCATGTTTCTCTTTGACTCAAAAAATCAAAAAGTGCTATTTGTGAAGGAAAAATTGAAGAGGAGATCTGATGAGAAGGAATACAGGTCTTCGCATAGCAATGGCTCATAAGAATTCTGCCTGACAGAAGTATGACTACAGATAGATGTGTTTGTTGAAAGCAGTTCTAGAAATAATGGAAGATTGGACTTTTTCTTTTATTCCCCAAGTAATGGCCTTTTACTTGTACACCAAAGTGCTGAGTATAAAAACCCATGTAGATACCATGAACTTGAAAGGCTGATAACTTGTACATTGTCCATGAGTAGGGATTGTTACATGCAGTTTTTACAGAAAAGTTGTTTTGTAGGCAGCATGCGCGTAACAGCAGGTACCACACAATGCTATACTTATTCCACAGACTCTTTGCCTTGTATTCTGTAGACAATTTGCTCCACCTAGGCCACTTACCACCTACTTTACATGCTGTATAAAATAAGGAGATGACTGAAGAATAAAATTCTTACCTTTGCCATCCAAGTCAAAAGCACAGTTATCCTCTCCCAATCTCTTGATACTACGCAGAACAACAGGGTCAGACATGATAATTAGTTGCTTATATCAAAAGTTCTGAAGAGACATGGGGGCAGGGAGGAGTGTACCAGCAAATGTTTTTCTGTGAACATAAAACATTATTATATTAAACTCCTGTTTACCTCAGTTTTGCCCTCATTATCCCAAGGCAATGTCCCAGAGTAGAAAAACACCTCACAGAAGCATGCCCAACTCACCCCAAATGCAGGGCATCTGAAGTGCTTTAATATCACTCATTTTTCACAAACAATTTGCTACAGAGCCAGTTCTTTTCCAATCTGTATTTTTACAGTTGATTAATCCCGCCTGCTATTGTCCATATATAATAGCACCTTGCATACTTCAGTGCATTTTACCTGTTTATTAAGGGGATTTCAACTCCTAGTACTGTTCTTCAGGGTACCTACAGTCTGTCCTACCTTTATGTCATGATCAAATTTATTAAGGATATTCTCCATTGTGTAATTCACATCATTATCAGTATTACTGTATTACATCGGAAGCAAGACAGACCTCTGCAGAACTTCTATCAGTAGAGCCATTCATTTGGAAATTGGTTCATTGCTTGCTACTCTATGGATGTAGCTTTTCTTGACTAAAAGTTTCTGATGAGTACAGCCAATTTATTCATCCACTGGTTGGTAAATTCTGACTCCCTCACACTCTGCAACCCCTTAAACTGTAACTCAAATTCTCTTCCTAAGTATAAAGCCAAATCACCACTGCAGCAGCAAAATGCCTGGCCAGTACTAAAATGGTTACTTACAACATAAAAACATGGGTGCTTTTAATTCATGCCCTCACAGAGTGAAACAAATTTACAATTTTAATCATATTTTTCCATTCTCTGAGATAGATGATGTATGGGCTGAACAAGTTACGGTACTGTATAAAGAAAGCTGAGCTAATAGATCAACTCCCAATTTTACACTGAAATTAGTGTAATTAGAAATGTCACCTTGATTATGTGCTCTAGTGCAGTCAAGAAGCAATGCTCCTACTTCCTCTGTTATCAAATCCAAACTTTAAGGGTGGTGTTACACATTCCAGAGCTTTAAAATACTTTACAACTTCACAGAAGTATAACCTATTGAAATTAACTGATGGAAACCATTTGAACCATAGCACTGAATGTGGCTTCCAGTGAAAAGCTACGAATTGGTTAAAAACACCCCCACTGCATTTCTGCTTCAGAAAGATAATGGATAATATCATACAGTAAGCTGATGAAGAAGGCAAAAATAAGGAAAGCAAGGTCATTCTCCATCAGCTACTTCTCATTTGACTTTGAAATCATAACATCTACACAAAATTTTGTAAATGGAACACTGTAAAAATTGATCTATCCTTTAAGTGCTGGTGCAGAACATCGCGCTGGGAAGTCTTATTTCAGTGTTTGCTCTGACTTTGTATTTTAACACTATGAAATATATTTTGCAACTGATTTTTTTTTTTAATCCTGAACGCTGATGCAGTTTTAAATGAAAGGAAAAGTGGAAAAAAAAACCCCAATAATTGATAGACTCGAATAAGGATTCTAGTTCCAAACACTTGCTAAAACCAAACTTCCTGGAAGGATGTCAGTTGTCCAATAAAATACTGACTGTCCCACATTTTTGAAAGAAAACATGCTTTTCCTGTATTTTCTAAGGCTCAACACATCAAATACTATCCACATACTATCCTGTCCAGCAGGCATCATTCTTTAGCTGAATTGAACACAATAGTATAAGCAGATTAGCATGCTGTATTAGGATATTTAAACAGCCTTTCTCAGTGTCTGAATGTTTAACCAGGGATCACAACTTAAAAAATACTGAGGCTGATGTCTGCATTAAAAATTATTTAAATAATAGAAAGCAGAGATCATAGAAGACATCAGATCATCACATCTATGCCTGTGCTCAAAATATAAACTAGGAGCAGCAGAGAGTGCCCCAGAAACCGCACAAAAGTGAAAGAGTATTAAGGTATGGCTGCTGGATTTTTGATAAATAAACATCTTTAAGGAACTAAAATCCATATTTAAACAAGTAATACTTGGAAAATGCTAACAAAGGAACATATCCTGTAGAATGAAGTAACATTAGGACCTGATCCAAAGCCCTTAGACATCATTTTCAAGATGAATCTCTATTTAGATCAGATCTTTGTTTAACATAAAGGGGGATAAAAACCTAAAAAACAACAACACCAACAACAAAAACGAAAAAACAACCCAATAATTACAATTGCTCATGAAAGTACTATCCTTCCTTTTCCTTAAAAAATAGGTTCCTCAGATATTGACAGCATACATGCTGAAAGACATTATGACTCAAAATAGAAGTTGAAAGTCTTAATCTTCAAACAGTCCCAATCAAATAAAAAATAAAATTAAAACCAGAAACCAACCAAAACCAAACACTAACTGTGCAAAGGGAATTCAGCATTCAGTTTAATTTGTTCTGAAAGAAAAACATAGGTGATCTTTCCATTGAGGAGGTTTCATCAGTTAACTCTGAAACATTAAACATGATAGATTTTTTACTCACCCCGTGGCTGTGAAAAATAGTGTATCATAGAACAAACTGCAAGTATCCTGTTCAATTAGTCAGTGAAGCACCCAACCACTTCCCATCATGTTTTCATTATTCTAACCCATTTGTGAGAACTGAATCTTTAAATTGAGCACTGGCTATTTGCACCTGGGTCAATAACCATGCGGTCACAATGGTTACAGTTCATTGACATCTAATGGAGGGTTTAAATTTGACTAATGTAATCTCACAACATGAAGTCAGGGCACTTGGATATCAATCACACTCAAGGAGACCAGATGGCTCTCTGGGGTAAAAAAACCAAACAAACTCACAACGAATGTAGAGGAAGAGATTATTATGGCTTTATCACCATTAGTATACGATTACTTTATTAGCCATGCAATAGTTCAATGTTCACTACTGTCCCTGCAGTAAATATCAACATCAGCAGAATAATATGAAAACTGATTCAGAGATTAAGCTAAATTTGGATTAAACGCTTGCTCAAAAGCTTTGTTTTCTAACCCACAGTCTATACCTCTCCCTATAGCTTCTAATATTTTACCATTCTTCCTACAAAATGAAGACTTTACAACCTGGAAGCTCCTGAGTAGTAGTGCATTCTTGTTGGAGAGGAGCTCTGCATGGATTTTTCAATAAAGGACATTGGTGATAATAAAGCTATGACCTCAGCCAATGTCACACAGAGTTTAGAGGGAAATGGCAAACATGGTTTAGTTCTCCTCTGAAATCAGTTCTCACTACAGAGAGCCCTGACTGATAGAACAGGATAGAAATGCAGTGCATGAATCTTAGTGACTGTCAGCTCTGCTGAAGCCTTGTGTGCTCTCAAATTTTCCATGAAAAAGCCTCATGCACAAAAGTGCAGATAAACAGAGATCCATTTTCCTTGCCTAGCATCATTATGGTGTTCACAGTCACAGCATAACCAAATGCAAACCTGGGGTCTTCTCCCATTTTCTTAACAAAAAGGCAGCTACATATATACTAATGTACACAGCACAGCTTTAAGGATAATGTTATGTGAGACAATGTCACAGTGCTAATCATCTTGTCCACCTCATCACATAGCCAGAGGGGAAAAACAGCTTCTTATAGTGCAGGGCCCAGGTGTTTAAAGGCTGGGAGAAAAAGATGGTGGAGCAGAACTCTGCTTTGCTTCATCCTCCCCTGAAAGCTTCTTCAGGAGCAAGATGGCTTAAAAGTCATGCAATGCCTTTGATTTTTATGGTTCTTGATCAGAGCTCACGTTTGGCACACAAGGAAGTCCCACCCCTCCAGACAAGGCTTGGCTTGCCAGAGACAGAATATCATTTTAGCATTACACAAACTACTTCAGTCTTTTCACTCATCTAAGCATTCAGAAAGTGTGCACAGAGCCTGTTTCACTATGCTAATAAGGTAGATTAAGGCAGTGATGAGTTGGAGCTGAGACCCCCACCCTTCTGAAGGGCTCTGCTCCGTCTAAACCTCCTTTTCTCTCAACTTATCCTTACCAAAAAATCCTGAAGATCAATAAATTCTGACTTGACTTTCTGACATGAGGCATAAATTTGAATCTATGCTGAAAAATCATCCATGTAGAGAAAAGTGGAGAACATAAAGCACTCAGTTTTGATCCTACTTCCCCTTTTACAGCTGCTAGCGGAAAAACTAACCAAAGCCTAACCAAATCCATCCCATTTCTTTAAGTGTAATCCTTCTGGTCCTGGGAAGGGAAAACTCAGTTTCTGTTGCGCATTCACTCACCTGCTCTCACTCACAACCTCTCGACCTCGAGTGGTTTCCTTGGATGGCATCCTGACCCAAGGGGAGTGTCCTCGGCTGCACACGCACCGCTGTGGAGGACCGACTCAAAATGGCTGCTCGGTGGGCACCACGTAGCCCCCTCACGGGCTCAGAACCCGACTTCCTGCCCCTGTCCCTGCTGACCGCCACCATGCAGAGGGACAAGCGCTGTGCACATGGCTTTTGTTTGTGGTGGGAGGCGGGTCTTTGCCAGGTCTTTGGGCTTTTGTTGCCACAAATCCAAAGTGAATTTTACACTGAGTTTACTGATTTGTCTTTATGCTATTAAAAATACATTTATGTCAATCCGGTGAGGTGCACACGTACATTTTTCCCTTCAACAAACCATAACTTCTGAAAAAGCTGCTGTCCTTTCCAAAGATCTTTAGCGAGTATTCTACACAGAAATCTTTTTGTACCCTCTCATTTCCTCTTTTGTTTTTTCCTCTTTTAATGGCAGGGTTTTATCATTTTTCTTGCAAGCAAAATAGATGTTCTTTGATAAGAAATAATCAAACTACATGTCTTCATAATGAAATGGGGAATAGCAGATTCTTTCCTTACAGTGAAATAAGGAAAGTGCCTCTGGGCACATTGGGGGTGTTTCTGTGAACATGATCTTCTCCAGGTGGGAGGCTAGCATGGTCTAAACTAAGTCCTGGTGTATCTATTTCTTGGTCACAAAAACATGCTATACTGAAACTGCAAAATACTTTCTGGAGTAGGTCCAGCAAGGAGTTTGGGAGAAGGGCATCAAGGGACTTAACTGTTAACTTGCCTTGTTTCTATAGTTAGCTTCTCACCATCTGCTCTTGGAAAGTACCAGAAGCAGGACATGCACTCATTTATCCCATTGATCCTGCCCAAGTCTGGCCGCTGGTATGTTTTTTTCCTCCATTCGAAATACTTGTGGAAATAAAAATAGCAGAGATAGCAACAACAATTCTAAAAGAGAAACAAACCAAAGCCCAACAACCCTGCAAATTTTAAATACAAACTATAACTTTTATATCCAATTTATGTGACCCAGCATGTTAAAATTCAAAAATTCTGTCAAATAATACCTCTCTGAGACTGCCAACTCCCCACTTCGGGCAACCAGCCCATCAGTTACCTCAACTGTTCCTATTAGAAGCTGGCATGTCCATGTGAGCCTGTTCCCCCTCTCCCAACCACTCTCAAATGCCCCTATTTGAACCCCTTTGGGGCTTCTGATCAAGGGCCTCTTACCACTCTCCACCTGGAAACTAGAGAAAAACACAGTTTTTATCTATGAGTCCTTTGGGTTTTTCCTTTTTTGGTTTCCCTATAAAAAATTGGAGGTTGGTCTTTACATTGGAAATTTGGGCTACTGTGGGCAGGTGCTGAACCTGTCAGTCTCCTTGGTAGGCTGGAGTTGGAAACACAGCCTGTACAAAGCACTCTAACTGAAAACATTGTGATTTCAATACTTTATTAATTTGATATAAGGTCCCACTGACGCATTAAAGAGCACAAGGACCAGAAGCTAACCCATGTTTGCAGACATACCTGTTGCCATGGCAAAACAGGCATTTTCCCTCAGTCTATCTAAATCAACTTTAATTTGTATTTACTGACCAGATTACAGATCAGACCCAAACTTTGTTTTTGTCAATTTACTAGTTATATTTTATATCTACTTCATAATTGACATAGGGCTTGATGAAACACAGTTCTATCTCCTCTTAAAAGGGCTTCTCTTAAACCTTCCCTGTTCCTGGGCCCCCTGGTTTGCCACTGTGGCTGGACCGTGCACAGACTTTAGCACACACGAGATGCAGCTATCTGGCATGGCTGGCTTCTGGGGGCAGGTAAGATGTGGGAAGGCAGGAGGGGCAGGGAAAGAGTGTCTCTGTGCCCAGCAGGGCAAGTCTTCATGCAGCTTCCAGGAGCAAACCCGGCTCTGAGGTGTAACAGCCAGGGACTGCCCAGGCTGCTAGTTAGCTGCAGGCAAAGGCAGGCTGTGAAGGAATATGGCAACTCCAAGCAGAGCAAGGGATATTACAAATAGAATGGTAATTTTAATAACATTTGCAAGAGAAGGAAAGCTAGCTGCTGTGCTGGGTCTGCTATATATGCATACATATGCTGAAAGAATAATTCCTTTGTCTTAAAGTAACTTTGAAATGCTGCACAGGGAAGGTAGTTATGATCACTTCTTCATACTTTCTTCACTACTGATGCTGCAGAGGAAGCAAAGCAACAAAACTCAGCATCCCTGCACTGCAACTTTTCCAACACCCTGCATAACTTCCAGCCAGCACAAGAAGTTGCATTTTACCAGCATACATGTTTATGTAAATGAGCACCACAAGCATCCATGGGCTTGCAATAATAATGAAGATATACTGAACCTTCCATATCAGAGCAGAAAGCAGTTCTGCATGCAGAAAATAAATGCAGTGTTCCTGTTCCCATTATGATGCTTAAAATCATGTCAGGTGTTTGCAATTGTTTAAATTAGGTTCATCCAGAGGAGAACTTGGGCATAGTAAATGCAGCTTCATCTGCCCTGCAGAGATGGGTTGTCTGTAGGCACACACAATCTCTAAAAAGATTTGTACTTCTTTATGTCTATTTAGAATTAAGTTTTTAGTCAATTGCATTAGGCATCTCCTGTTTTCCAGGCACGAGCACTCAGCAAGTATAACCGAATTGTTTTCTCTGAGCAAATTTCATTCGTCATCAATAGTTACTTGTAAGTTCACTACAAAGTCAACTGGAGTATAATCCCAGATACGAAGGGTCTTCACAAACATATGTTGCAGTATTGATGTTTTCACATATTTTCATTTCAGAAGATCATCTCCAGAAGACTTCAGTAAAATGCTTTTCTATGTGTTATTCTTTCTTGGCATAATCTTTCTGTGGTGGCATTGGAGGGCAAGAGACAGGATGATTACAAATACTAATCACTGGATGTGACACAGTATTTGGAAACACGGCAGCAAAGATTTTTAATAAAGAGGGATTCCATGTTTTTTGCCATCTGACTGAAACAAGAGCAAAGGAGTTAAAAGCTGTGAACTCAAAGCAGCTTCAAACAGTGCTGCTAGATGTGAGAGATTTAACGTTAAAAACATGGGTGCATGGGTCAAAGCTGAAGCTCAGTCAGAAGGTGAGTCCCAGGATGTCTGTCTTAAAAGAAAAAACAAGAGTTTTCCTAAAAATACCATGCTACATTCACAGCTTATTATAATTGGCATTTGACAAGAGTATGTGGATGTCTTGTCACTTTCCAGAAACATCGAAGATCTCACTAGAGGGATGTTTTATACACCTAGTTAGAAGTAGGTAAATATTTGGGAATGTGCTCAAAAAGTCAGGCTTATTGATACATCACTGTCAGAACAGGAAAGCAGTTCCTGGAACCTTAATTGGGACTGTTTGCACTCACATGCTTATCTGGGTTATGGCACGAGTGCTCAGCACCTCCCTTCCTATGTTACCCAGATAGGGAGCAAATTAAATAGTTTGAAGAGTTCATATATTTTGAATACATTTAATAAATCACTTGTAAGTAATTACCCATTCTATCAAAAGCAAAAATTACATATGAGCTCTGTTGAATAAATCTGAATATAACTATTTCAGAATATTGCTTGCAGACCATCTGAAAACAGAAATATCCTATATCTCTGATTTGTGCAAGACAAGATGCTGCTGCTGTTACTGATGCTAACTGATTTCAGCAGGAGTGGTATTGCAGCAGAGTTTACAAAGGCCCAGGATCCTAGGGACTGGATTCTGCTATATTTGAGTCTTAAATCTGATGTATTATGATATGCCATAGTACCAATTACTGCTAAATTCCAATCTCCGTTTGACCTTTCATCTCTTCATAAAATGACTTATAACTTGCCAAATTGCTTTGATTTGAAAAAGTCTGCTTGGTTTCAGGCCAAAACTCATCTTCCCCCTCCCCTCCCCCCCCAAGAAAAACTACGAGTAAGGTCAGACCATCAAAAATATTCATTCACACAACTCTAACAGCTGATACAAGAGAACCATTTTTACATTTCTGTATTTTCCCCTCTCACTTGTGAGGGCTCAGAAATGTTTTTCATATCAACCTGGTGGTTTTTCCTTGCCTCCACCTCATGTTGGGATATGTCAGTCAGTGTGAGGCGTTGTTCTCTGCTACCACAAAGATGTCACTGTAGGGGGGAAACTGTCAGAAGTTTTCAAACCTCTGAGAAGGAGTTCTTAAATTTTTTTGTTACCAAGAGCTGGTCCTTATTGTCCTGGAAGCTCACCCACTTCAGCAGTTATACAAGACTTTCTACTGCTGCGAAACAGGATAAAGCTTGCAGTTTCCCATGCATAGTAAATATTTGCCACTATCTCCCCCATCAGAGACAAGGCTGATTCCATAAGATCTGTCCTTTATATTGGCATGGGACAAACTACACATGAAATACACACACATTCCCTGCAAATGTAAGAAATGTATCTATTTCTCCAATACGTGCTATTATTAATACATTATTTCATTTTTTATGTCCAAACCAGAAAGAGCAAAGGAACTACTGAACTTTCAGAAATCACTGATTTTTCAGTTCTTTCACCTTGAAGGTAATTAATTTTTGAACCACTGAAGGCTCCAGTTTCCACAAAGAACCCCAACACAAAAATATCCTAGAAAAATAGGGAACATGGCTTTAAGTCCCTATAGCAGGAATTCATTCATCTCAGGCAAAGGAGTGAATGGCAACAGAGCCCTCCTCTGGGAGAACTGAACTCTAGCAATATGAACTAGGAAGGAGGACAGAAAATCCTCTTCCTGATACTGTTTTCTTTAGCAGTCAACCCTTTCCAGTATTGAGGCCAAGGAAACTCTGGTTGCCTTTCTTTGGTTCAGTCCTAACCAAGGAGAAAACAAAATAAAGTGCCCAAGTTGAGGATCTGGCTGGCACACCCGTTCCTGCTCAGAGAGATTTGCCAGCCTTAGGTGAGGCATTTTCCTGGTCAACATGCTAAATCTTGAGGATCTCTAAAGTCCATCTGTACTCATCTGTTGTAAAGGATCCATAGGTGGGAGGAGAGAATGGAGTGTTAATTGAAATAAATAAATCTGAGCTTCTAAGACTTGAAGTCTGGGAGCTATTTCTTGGAGTAAAAAGGTGCTGAGTAATTCCTGTGGAGAGGTGCTGCTTTGGTTCAATTCCTGACACAAATGCATGTTCAGACCTGGCTCCACTGGAATTAATCATGGCAAGGTGCTTGAGAACTGGAGAGACCCCACATCAAGTCTGTAACTGCACATTACTCAGGGTGCCATTTCCCACTGTCATGGAAACTACTCCGCAATGAAATGAATGCTTTCCTCATGCTGGTGAACTTGCTGTGACATGACTGAGTTAAAGAGTAAGTTACCTGGTGGCTATCCAGGTGCTGGCTTTCAATTTAGTTTATTTGGAGCAAAACATCAATTCTACTTTCTCCGTGTAGCTTATGCTTAGGCTCCAGTGGGGTCGTTAAATTTATATCTGTTATCTGAAAAAGTTATTTCTTCTAGAGCAGGTTTGAGGTGAGTACTTCTCAATTGGCTACTCTTACTAAAATATTGATGGCATTGCTGTAGTAGATTTTATCTTTAGATCAACTTTCTGTTAATGAAAGTGATAGAAAACCAAGTTTACTTTAGCTGACATGTAATCTGTGTGAGTAGCAGTCTGATGAGCTATAGCTCCCCTGTTCCAATCTCCATGAGCTGTTAGCTTTACAGGCAAGACATCACTCCACCCTGCTGAACAGGCAGATTTGAGCTCTAGAGATGTGAATCTTGTCCTCTGAGCTTAGAAGACAACCCTGGTGTCATTTCACATAGAAAGCTGCAGCTTTGGGGCTTTGTTTCCCCCCCATCAAGATTACACAGCCAAAAGTGATTAGGAAAACAAACAAAGTATGAAATTGCACCACTTATTATGATCTTTATCTTTAGAAATTACAGTTTGACTGGTTTAATTTAATCCCTGTCAAACCGCAAGTATACCATCAGCTGCTGCATGACCCTAGCACTGTGAAGGTTAGCATTTAAAGGAAAATACAAGCAGAATCTGGGACAGGGCACTAACTTTGAATATATTACTTAAATTAGAAATGCAGGGAAATAAAATGTCTACAGTTGAAAAATATGCTCCATGTATTACTTCTCACCCTATGGAGGGCCAGATTCTGCTGGCATTTTCTCTCCTGGGACCCAGATACCTCGTTTGCTCAAATGTCAACAACAAAAGCCAGTAACTCCTGGAAATGAGTAAACCACACTGCTATGGCTATCAAAACCCATCCTGCTCACAAGACTGTATGAGTCAGCTGAAGATTTAGACATACATTTTTAGGGACCAGAAGAGATTTGTTGAGAAGAAGACCCATGACATCCACAAGGTCAGAACAACCTGAGGACTGCGCCCCCAGGACCTGGTTTCTGTTGCTTGTTAAATCCAGCACACAAAGCTGTGCTTCAAAACCTTCACTTGTCCAGCAGGAATAATGTTACCTTCTTGCCTTTCACTTGAGAATCAAATTTCCTTCCCCACTGTTATGCTTCAAGCAGGGTGATTTTTCCCTATCCCTTCTAGAAGCCAGGGATCTCATTACAAAATACACTTAAGGAGTCAATGGGAAATCAGAGAGTCAAGTGCTACTTTCTGCAGATGGAACTGTCTCATGCCAACACCTCTAATGGAAAGCTACATATGGAGCTTACATTTTGCTTATGTGGCTTCTCTTCTGAAAAAGCCAGAGGATCCTCTGTAAGAAAGGGAACTTATTGGAAAAAAATCCCCATTTCAATGTTTTTCAAGATGCTAAGCAGGATTTCTTCAGCTTTCTGAAATTATTTTCTTTAGTTGGAAAGCAGTTTGCTGAGAAAAAATCAGGAGTAGAGAAACTCCTTTTAGGCTTTCTTCTCATACATTTCTATTGCAAAGGATTGCTACTTAGATCAGCAGATCTCGACCTGACACTGCCAGAGGAATTCTCCTCTACAATAGGCTTTGCATTCTGGTGGAGTGCTGTTTTGTGGTTGTTTCGACCACATTGCAGAACCTGCCATTAGAATCAAGCCATGCAGGACTAGGCAGGCCCAGCAGGCACATGTACCAGGCTTGTGCTGGAGAGGAAACCTGTCAGCCACCGTATTGAATCCCCAAGTTTCCAGCAAGTTGTATATCAATCCTAACTACCCTGAGAGTGCTAAAAGTGCAGTAACAACTAACACTGCCACTCAGGCTGGTGTGGCACTCAGAGTGATAAAAAAGAAAGAATTTCCAGGCCAAAGCCAAAATGAGCAGGGTGAGAAACTGAAGGGAGAAGAGATGCCTATCAAGCAGAGGAAGAACTCAGCAGCTCCTGGCAAATGTCACTCTGGGACTGGCCGCCATCACCCTGGTCTGCTCAACTTAACAGGGCCGCTCCCAGCATAACATTACTTGGTTTTCATGGTCTAAAATTCTTTCTCATTTAATTAGTCCCAAATCCATTTTCATAAAATGCTTATTTATTCATTCTGCTGTTGAGAATGGTTTCTGCCCATGCCCCCTCACTTCCTGCAGCATCAGGCACCACAGTGCTCTGTGAATGGGAAGGCATGATGAGTGAGGAAAAGCAGCTCTGCTTATATGGTTAAGCAACAGCACCCAGAGCTGATCAGAAGTGCCCAGCAGACTCTGAGTCAGGAAACAACCAAGCAGCCTAGCAATCGTATGTTAGTGTCTTTTCCCATGCAAACTGTAGAGCTTCTGTTTGCACAGTTTATAGAATTTGAGCTTTTATTTGAAAAACATAGCTTAGTTACTCTGACAATTGGTTTGTTTCTGGTATCAAAAAGCTGCCACTACACTAGAAAAAATAATTTCATCCCTGAAAGTTTTCATACAGAAGGATGATTAAGTTATATCAGTAACAACTTGCTCACATGCATGAGAAAAGGTGGAGGTCTGAACCAAGCTCTGTTAAATTAATGGAAAGACTCCTGCTGGTTTCAAGACAAAGCACAGATCAGTCCTTCCCAGCTGAGTAGATCAGTTCTCCCTAATGAGTCTTGATATTCCCCAAGACTCTGTAGATTACTAAATATAGCCAGCAGTGCTTATACAACCTAGGAAGGATAGGCAGGCATAGAGGATATACAGAAGATTAATACCAAATAAGTGCCTAAGGCAGAAGCATCACAGCAGAAGTCATTATCAACAGCAGGGAGAGGGGCCATGCTAGCTAGCAATGTACAGAGATCAGAAAGCACTAGCAGATACAGAATTTACAGTGAAATTTCTTTTTAAACTATCACCATGTGGGTCTTGGTGCATAAGCTTATGAGTTTGACTTGGGCTGTTTCTATATTATGACACTGGAAATACTGGTGAAGGCAACTCATGAGCACCTGGAGCTTGCAGATGTCTTCTCAGAATGTAATAGCAGAAAAACAGAACTCGTGTCTATTGCTATAGTGAGCAGTACCCATTATACGCATTTGCAGAATAGCTAAGAGGACAAATTAAGCATTTGGTTTTGAGTGCACAGACAAGAGAACGTGCTGTCCCTTCCTTTCTAAAGTGATTTGAACAACTGTTGCTTATCTAAGCACCTACAGGGTCTGAACAAAACGCTAACTCAAATGTTCTTCCTGACATCTGGAATCTTTCCCTACTCTTTTATTTTCAATTACATATAAGCTTACAGGGTTTTATTTTGCTGAGTCTTTTACCAATGCTGTGGTAAAAATCTAGAGTGCAAACCATACAAGGAAAGATACAATCATGCCAAAAAATCATCTCCCTCTATACCAGACTACATTTGCCTCCCTGCAAAATGCTAAGTAGGAGATTTTGGAGAGGCATTTCTTTTAAGGTGAAGTGTTAATGAAGATCTTCAGTTATCTGTTGGCCACCAAACTGAATTATCACACTGACATTTTTACACAGCATACAAAAAAAGCACACCTTTCCCATGAAACAGAAGGGCAAAGCCCTGCATGTGCAGGAATAGTTCTCCTAAGAGTGGGAGATTTGCTGTGTTTGTGACTGCTGATTTGTTCAATTTGTTAACCGAAGACCAGGGGTTTTGTAGCTCTGGCAGGATGACTGTTAAAGTTTGTACTTCCTAGACTCTGCAGAGCTGGTAAGTGATTTGTCAAAGCAGTCTAATACCAAACCTTCAATGTGTGCTACATGTGTGCTGTTTCTGAAGAATGCCAGTCCCTAAATTTTCCCTTGACAGTTCTTCCTCAGCATGTCTGGCAGGCTGCTCTAACCCACTGCAGAGCATTGACTTCTGGAGGTTTCCACTGCCAGCAAATGGGCGGATGAAGGAATCCAAAGCACACCCAGATCCCAGATTTCACCCCAAGCTGGTGTTCTTTGGCACAACTACCAAAGCAAACTTGCTGTGGGAGTAGAACAATAGCACCCCACTTCAATACAGTCTATGTGCTTCAGTTTCTTTTAGTGCAGAGAAACAGAGAGATGTTGTATTTTGTAGCTGTCTAAGGATCCTAAAAGGGCTCTTAGCGCACTCATGCTGCTTTTCTGGTGTAGTCATGTTGCTTTTCTCTAAAATCAATTGCTTGTATAATGGCACTTGTCTAGGCATAAGAAGCTAAGCTCTATCCTGAGAGTTTTCAATTTGCCAGGCAAATATCAAAGTTTTAATGGGAAGTAGAATTTGCCTTTAGCTATTTACTGGCTACGTTAATAATCAGAATTCAATATTTATGAAGATATATCAATACTCTTGAAATATCATGCTGACATTTTCAATGGAAGCACACTCTGCCACTCCAGGCAGCTATTGCAAAATCAATATGATCCTGGAAGACAAGTGGCTTTTTCAGTGCCCCGCAATTATCAAGCTAGAAATATTTTGCATAACATTGTACATTTGTGGAACTAGACAATTTTCTTGGAAGAAAACTTTTAACTGAGATTATTCCCTTTGATCCTGATCCCAGACTCCTTCCAGCAGCAATGGCATCATTTAGCAGAATGAATACTGTCAGAAGGCTCCAACAGAGCAAAACTCACCATGGTGCTCAGCACCAAATGTCCATGTGTTATCAGAGAAGGAGCACTGGTACTCAGGGAGAACTAGGCAGTTAGGGATTACAGGCCTAGGAACACTGGTGCAGGGCTGGTAGGGAAAAGAAGAGCAGTGGAGGCTTCACACACAGTGCTGCCCCCTTCAGCTGTTGCCCCTAGAGCCACTTGTCTTACACCACTTCTGTGCTAATTATTGCTACCTAAACATAGGGACTAACAGTACCCAGAGCAGTCCCAGGTGTTTCTCTTTCAGACCCAAGTAGGCATCCTGGCTAAACACTCCAGGACTTCTGCACAGAGCCCAGCTTCTAATTTTACCTGCTTTCCAGGAGTGCAAGCTCACTGCCCAGTGCTTCCTCCTACAGCACAGCTAAGGAAGGCAGGTGTGATTTGCAGCTCCTGTTTTGAATTAGGTTAATCTTTTCCCCAAATCTCTAATTAATTAATTTAATTTTGTAGTGGGAAAAGGTGAATTGACTCCTATAATGGTGTATCACAGCACTAGCTTGCTGAGTAGCTTGCTGAGATTTATTGGCACGGAGTTACACCTGCTGGTTGCAACTTCTGTGTGTCTAGCTCAGCTCCAAATTCTAAGTCAGCAGCCAATGGAAATGTCATTGCCTGGCATGTCTCTGCAAATGGACTGGGGGTATTTATGATCGGCTGCTGCAACATCCTGTTTTCAGACTTCATTTTACAGCATGGAAGCCTGAATTAGCCTGAGCTCTTTCACACAGTTTTAATGGCACTTTGTCAAAACACACTCTGTGAGTCCTCTCACAAAATAAATGTCACCAACTCAGTGAAACATTACAAAGATGATTCCAAAGTGCACACATTCAGGAACACTGCAATCTTTGTCAGACTTAACAGGGGCATTCACTGCAAAAAATAAGCTAAGTATCTAAGTGAAGTACCTGAACTAGAGGGGATAATTACATCAGCCTTCGAACAACAGTGAGGTGGACTGTTAAAATAACTGGTGCAGGGACCAGTCTAACTCCCAGAAAAATCAGTGGGAGCCTCCCTGTAGATTGTAGTGGAAGGATAAGCAAACTGTTCCCTGTACATGTTTGCTTAACATTTTAAAATCAGAGAGTATTAATCAGTAGCTCAGAAGTCCATACTGATGGCTACTGAACCACCCAAGTAGATAGAATAAGATCAGTAAGTATCAATGAATGTTGTCACTTGTTATCATTTACCAGCTATGTGACTGATTTAATCATTTAATGAGAGTCCAACATTCATTCACTATCAGATTCTGAGATTCCTTCCATTCCTACTTGGTGAGGTGACAGCAAAATTTAGAATCAGAATAAATCCAAATCACTCCCTGAACACAGTAAGAACAAGAACACCAGGCAGGCTTTAGTAACCAAGCCTAATACACTACCCTACATAATATATTCTGGTGTGCTGCCTAAACAGGCAATGAAAGAAGAGACAAAAGACTTGGGCATTGCCCCGAAGTCTACCTTCTCTAATGGGCAGAGAGCAGATCGCTGACCGTCACACAACAAATGAGTCATCAAACCCACCACTACAGCTTAGGCTTTTCTGGTTGTTCATAGGGTCACTCTGCTTCCATGCTACAGATTAGAAGAGCAGCCTTGGTGTCATCATAAAGGCAGTCAAAAAGAATTATTTTTCTTCACAGAGGAATTCCTCTCTCCAGTATCAGCACAAATAATCAACTATGTCTACAAAAAAACCCAGATGCTACTGTGAGAACTGATGAAGTAATTCCCTTCAGTCTGAAATGTCCTGAAAGGACAGGGCTGACTAGAAAGATTAGTCAGCAAAGCTTGAAAACAGTGTAAATCTATTGGAAAGTAGGGAAGGTTTTGCCAGGGCACGTATTATTTATTGATACCGATCACATTGTGCCAAATCTTCCACCTCTGCTTTCCTCTAACTTACAGTGAGCTGGAAGGGCAGCAATCAGAAAAAAAGGCCCTTACAGGAATTGTGTCTGAGGAAGCTGGTGGGTTGGCTGAGCACATTTGCTTCACTTTGTTTCTAGATCATTAACTTATTTGCTTGTAGCTCTCAGACTCTCTGCACATAGCAATTCTGGCTTCCATACTTTCCCTTACCATGTACTGGCTCATTAGAGACAGTCACAGAGTGAGAAACCTGAATGGAAAGCATGTGTTCATGACAGGTATTGACAGTGGACTTGGAAACTTATTGATAAATGGCCTCACTAAAGGGGAGTTTGTGTCATTGCTGCATGTGCCACAGAAAAAGGAGGCCAAGAGCTACTCCTGCTCCTTATTCTCATTGAAGACAGTGAACCTGAACTTAGCTGACCCCAGTGGCTTTGCCAGGGCTGTGGCATTTGTGACCAAAAAGACAGCTGGCAAGGGTAAGTGGCAAGGTAATAAAAAAAAAAGAAAAATATTATTCAATATAACCAAATCTGGTCTAGCTAAAAGTTCTGGTGTCTCTCCACAGAGGCATGTTTCATCTCCCTGATGAAAAGCATTCACTCTGTCATTTCTCAAGTTCAGAGATTCTCTCCAGCAATCTTTTGGGCTTTCCCTTGCTTTCACCAACAGGGTTCTTAAAAATCTAGTTTCTCAGTCTGTTAAAACCAGATCATTCCCAGGTGTGTTTATCAGACTCTTTTTAGTGCAGTTGAAGAACATCACTGGGAGGAGGAAGATGCTAACTAGTACCAGAAAGTACTTTCTTGACAATAAATCCAGCCCACACAATTAAAAATGGCTGGTGGCAGGGTTTTTTTCTGCCTTTATCTAACAAACAAAAGAGTATTTTTGCATGGCTGAATTAGTCTAAATTTTGCAGTTCATGCAACAATTGCACTGACTGCAACAGTTAAACACTCGCCACTTCAGTCAGTTTTCTTAGAGCTGCTACACAGGTACTATCATACACCTCTGTGAATGTGTCTTAAAGAGGAAGTTGGTCCCTGGGGTTATACTTTGAGTGGAGTTAAAAACAAGAATTAAGTGTTGGCTTTGACAAAGGGTGGTCAATAATCTGCAAGGTAAACATGCTAAGCCATGGCAGTACATGTTTCCTTCTCAGCACTGATAGGTCAGACTAGACGTTAAGGGCTGCCAAAAGGGATTGCAGCACTGCAACTACCATCAGTAACACAGCTACAGTAAATATTCAATAGGCTTGTTAATTAATTAAGTAGCTAAAATGACAAAACATGTATCTTCTACCAGTAGGACTTTCTTCTCAAAGCTTGTAAAACACTGTTGGCCTCATCAGGAGGATTCCAGACACTTATTAAACCCAGTGATTAGGGCAAGGACAACATAATTATTAGAACTTACCTCCTCTGGCAGGTCCCTTCTTCCAGCTTGTGGAAAGCTGCACACTCTCAGTGGGGATAACCACTGCTGGCGCTCTCACCTTAGTCTGAGAAACTCTTTATGAAATATCAGTGCTGGACTTTCGGCCTCTGCCTTTCAGGTGCAGGCTGTCCTCAGCAAACTCTTGAAAGTGTCACTATTTATCTAAAGTTTCTCAAGTAATTTATAGCGTAGTAAAGCAGTATTATCAATACACAGGGTTAAGCTAATATCTTCAGAAGCATTGACTAATTTCATACATCACGTTCAGACCTTTAGACCCCAACCAACAAAAATCAGACTCTCTGCTTTTATACAGACTACTTGATTTTCACAAGAATATAAGTGCATAGTAGGAGCCCACATACTGGAATGCATCTGGATAATAAAGCCCGGTATGGTGGCTTGTATCTCAAGTGAAATAGTTTCCCTTTAATACTTTACCAATACTCTTTTAGAGTGGTCAGGAATGGTCATTGGTTTTGGTTGGTTTTTGGTTTTTTGTTGTTTTTTTTTTTCTTTTATGATAGAGATGCAGAAGTTTGGAGGGAAAGTAAGCATTGTTGAGCATGGTTTCTTTAAGGAAGAAATAGTTAATTCAGATGTCATCAACACATACCTCTTAAGACGTTTGAAGGGACTGACTCCTGAGATCAGGGACTCCTACAGAGAAAAATACTTTGTTGAATGTAAGTAGCAAAAAGACTGTATGAAAGCCCAGAGCACTTAGTATTGGACTACATAAATATCTGAAGGAGGCTCTAAAGACAGAGGGCCAGGTCCCTTTCAGTGGTGCCCAGGACAGAACCCAAGGCAATGGGTACACATTGAAACACAGGATGTTCCTGCTGAAGATCAGGAATCATATTTTTACTGTGAGGGTGCCCGGGCACTGGCACGGGTTGCCCAGTTAAGTTGTGGAGTCTCCATCCTTGAGGATACTCAAAAGCCATTGGGACATGGTCCTGGGCAACCTGGTCTAGGTGACCCAGCTTGAGCAGGGGGCATTGGACCAGAGGTCCCTTCCAACCTCAGCCAATCTGTGATTCTGTGAATGTTTGCTGGACTTCATTAACATTCATTAAGAACCCATTGCTGATTTTCCTGGACTATATCTATGTTAGATAAGGCCTGTGCTATTAGTTTACATATGAGATTGGTGAGATGTGATGTCATGCCACCATCCTTAGTCCCTCCACACTAAAAGGTAGAATGCCCAAGTAGAATGAACTGGAGTGACCATATGCTGTTTATGGCTTACTGATATCTGAAAAGTCATGCTGAGTCATGCTGCATTTACCGTGGAGAATATCTGACTCACAATACAGGCCAGGGAAGTTTCTGTTTGCTGGGCTCTTGGGTGTTCTGCAGGCATTCTGGTCTCTGCTCTGTTGTAGCTGAACTGGGTTCTTGGGTGTTCTGCAGGCATTCTGGTCTCTGCTCTGTTGTAGCTGAACTGCTCTCAGTACTCAAGCCAGTAGTTTAAAAGCAAGCTGAAGCTGTAGCCAAACCTTTGAATATAAAGAATCCTCTCACAGAGAATTTTGCATATAAATGCTTTCAGATTTATTTTCTTCTTCACAGATATAAAAGCTCAAAGATCATCCATAAAAAGGCTGCATGATTCTGATATTTCTCAGGTCATATAATGCATGGCACATGCCCTGATAGCAAAGCACCCCAGGACATAATACAGAGCTGGATGCAAAGTTCTTTTGCTGTTTCTCTCCTAAGCCCCAAGCTGTTTATCTGACATGCTGCTGTGAAAGACATTGCCAGCTCCAGCAGCTAGTGGGAGATCAGTTCCTGGAGTTCTCATTAACATTTAGCATTAAACCGGTATCAGCTCTGCAGAAATAAATTTTAATCCTGTCAGAACCAGACATCCTTTTCTTAATCAGTTACTAGACTTCTTTTCAGAAGACACTTTCTCCACCTCCCATCCCTCCTTACCTGGAATTTCTGAGTTTGCAGATGGGCTTGTAAATCCAGCATGGTTTTGAAGACCATTTTTTATGCTCAGAAGTGACACCTCTGTAGGATCTCCATTCCTAAGATGTTCAGCTACAAAGCTAGTCAATACTACTCACTCTATAACAAGTTTTAATTTAAGGGAAATAAATTCACTAAAAGAATCAGGTTTTCAAGTACACTTCATCAACATACAGGCTGCTAGTGAACTTGAAATAAAACAACAGTCTTTCAGAACATATACCTTTTACATATACCTTACAGAATGTATTTAGTCAGATTTAGTCATTTATTTCATGGGCAGTTGATCTATTCAGGAGTTGTTAAACTTCACAAGTTGCTGAACACAAGACATGAAAACAAACGATAAAGCCCAACTATTGCAACGTATTCCAAAAATTACAATTGCAGTATTTGACCACATCTAATCACCTGATTATTCAACTGTGTAGAAATAAAACAAGTTCTTTACAGATACGAAATTACAGAGAAGAATCAAAACTACATTGTACTCTGTTAATATGCAGAGTATCCAAACTTGTATTTAAACTTTCTCCCTAGTAATAGTTTCTTATATGAGGAAAATATTAAAAATAATATACATTTACATTTCTTTCATCCTCAATTTGCTCTGCAAGTTAGACGTATGATTACTTCATTCATTAGATGAAACAGGATCATTAGCGTATGCTATGGCAAATTAGTTCAACTGTACAAAGATTATGTTAAGAACAACAAAACATTAGTTGAGGTTACTGTGCCTCTTGTACACTATTTCTATCTGTTAAGCTGTTGGCCAGAGGCTCACAAACTGGTGTTCCTAGAGATATTAAAACTGAAGGGGTAAAGGTTTTATTTGCTGAAGACCTGCACTGGTGATTAATCATTAATGTGCAATTCAATTAAGCTTACAAAAATACCATGCGTAGGTCAGAACTCCAAATGTAAGAAAAGGAGTTTCATCACTCTATGTGTGTGTAAGAGGGGACAGGGCAGGGGTGTTTTGTACATGCACAAGAAAGGGACAGAATAGAAAAAAGTATTTAGTAACCTCTAAGTATTTCATTGGTTCTATTCTCTGCCAAATGGCTTCAAGAATAAATTTATTCTACTTTATTTCATGATAAATACCTGTAAGAGAGATAGTTCTCTCTATCTGACCTGACAGCTGTAAAGAGAATGTACATGAAAAAACTTAATGGTCTAATTTATCAACCATATAGTGGCAGATTATGAGACTTGCTGAAATCCCTAAAAATCAGCCCTCTTTGAAACAGAATAAGTCCAGAATTCAAGAATCCAAGCAGGGACAGTCCTCGTAAGGGAAAAGAGTACAAGTAGAAAACAAAGTTAGGAATAGACTCTAAAGCTTCTGTTGAACAAAGTACAAAAAATAGATATTAGATAAGCAGATGGGTACGCTATGGTTGCTACTAAGAGGAAGAGGCCCAGTTGAAGCTTAGGAATCCTTCACCATCAGGAATGTTTAACAATAAATCTACATTCTACCTATCTATACAATATCCCAGGGATGGTTTTCTTCCACACCTGAAAAGTTAAAATTACCGGGGGGGGGGGGGGGAAGGTAACCCTGATATATGGCTGACATATTAGCAGTTTTCTCCAAAAATTATTCCAAATCTTTCTGTTGACAAAGACTGTTCACAAAAGCAATGCTATTTTTCTTATGGTATCAACTGGGGGCAAGACTTGTGGAAATGTTAGCCCTGCCTTCTCTCCTTAAAAAACATTGTGAACTCTTTCCTTAAGAACAGGAACCTGTCTTTCAAAGACATCCTTTCTCATAGCCTTATACATATGTAAGCTGTGTCTCCGATTCTAAGGAATTTTTAAAGCACTTAGATGTGCAAGTTAATTGAACTAAGGCTTCAATTGCTTGTGTCCATACTATACTGAAAGTCAGTCTCCTACAATCAATAAGAGTTTCCTGTTTCAAGGCCAGTTTATTAATATGTGTAATGGGGCAGTTTTTACTGGGATATGATGTCAGTGATGTTATATCAAGAACTTTAGACAGTTGTGTGAAGCAGTAAGTAAGCACTATTCTTATTTGACTTTATCTAAAGCACTGTTGTTTTTATCTCAGAGTGCACTGAAGTCTCCACAACTGAAAAAAGTACATTGACAAAAATTATGAAATAAGAATGTGATAAAATAATACATTTATTAGATTTATTCAGCAGCATCATTTTCCAGTTGTCTTTTCTAATCAAAGTACATTACAAAGTAATTATAAACATTCTAATTAGAAATAGTAAATATTTTGAGAACTCAGATATAAAACAATCAAATAGCAGAAGTCTCAGTGATTATAACTTCAGGAATCTTTAAGTTATATGAGTAGCTAGGCAGGAATGCTGAATAACATGCTCCTGAAGCAGTATTCAAAGTTTCCTCACATGGTTCATGTTGTGGAAACTACCTTGGCTGATTAATAGAAAAGCTAATAAGATATACAGTGTATTCTGGTGGAAGGGTATAGAAATAACTAAAAAACTACAAGGACTCCTATTAGTATAAATTGTTTCCCTTTCTATTAATGTTCATCTCAGGAAATAAATAGTCAATAAAATTAAATTTTCACATTAAAACACCTGCATAATTTCTTAAATGAACCAATATCTTTCGTATTTTGCTGTTTGGAAATAAGCTGCTACAGAAATCTAGCTACTTCATTTAATAGTCCAAATTACTTCCAGAGACTCAAGCCAAGAACAGAGCTATTCCACTGATGAGCAAGAGAAAATTTTATTAAATTAAGTACTCATGGCACTAAAATCTAAATATATCAGATCTTTTTAGGAACACTATTAATGGAATGGTGTTAATTGGAACCTTGAGAAAAAGTATGTGTTTTGTGGATTGAGAGGAAATTATTTTATCTACAGCAGTTAAAATACTGGAAGAAGAACATTTTGCACCTTCAGCAAAATGATGCTACCTTGACTCTTCCATCATTTGTTTAACACAAGATAAACAGAGACATCCATTTTTACGTAGAGTAGTATATAAAACAGGTGGTAAAGATGCCCCAAGCACCAGCAGAAGTTTCAAAAGGTGCTGTTATAAACATATACTCTAAAGATCCTGTAAATCAGTAATGTTCCTATAGTTGCCTTGTTTGGTTCTTTTTTTTTTTACTTTAAGCATTTATATTATGAATTTATCCCTAAAGACACAACCAATTCCATACAGATTTCTACTAGCAACATCACCAAACAAGATCACCTTTCAAAAATTTACAAATGTACAATATATTTATAACATTACTTTCAGACAGCTTCAGTGCAAAGATATACATATAGTACATCACGATAATTGTTCATAAAAATAGAAATTGGCATTTGTCAAAAAAACAAGGCATAGTTTTAACATACATATCCAGCCATTGGCTAAGAGATATATATATTTTTATAAAGCATTTGAATGTGAACCTTACTCTTCTGTTTATAAAAAATATATGTGCAAATGGATGTGTCTAATTTTCCCTAAATCAGTTACCTAGTTATACCACAGAGTCCTCTTTAACAAGGTTGGCGGTGTCTTTAAACGTGTCTTCTGTCGCTGTGTAAGATAATGGTTGGTCTCTTCTCAGAGTAATCTTGGGAGGCAGGGAAGGAGAAGGGGTAGGGACACTTTTTGTGTCTTGTTGATGTTCCTTTTCCATCTGAAACAATAATAATAAAATCCAAGTTTACATTCTAATGTATAAAATATCCAAACTTAACTTTCAGAAATGCTAAATAAATATCCAAGTTATTCTGCTAAAGTCAAGTGTCATGGTATAAGTTATTTCTGCATATCACTGCTTGTAACAAAATCAAATGCTAATTTCACCTCAGATGGTACAGCTGAGTAAATAAACTACTGCACACTTACTCTATATGCTGGGACTTCTACTTTAATGCTTAATGACAGGAGTAGCTTGGTATGTCTATATGCACATACATGAACACAGATTAACACTGGCACTACTACTGTTTGCAAATAATTACATTAATTAGTATTAGAGAAATGAACCTCTGGCTTCCTGAACTCTCTCTCTCTCACCTTGTTCCAGCATTAGAAACCTAAATTCTTCACAAATGACAGCTAGTTTTAGTCACTGAGGTTTTAAAGTCACTTAGGCCATCTGGAAATTTTAAACTGTAAGGTCAAAAGGGCTGGAATTACTTGGTCAAGTCAGCAGAATTCCAAACCTTTGTGCCCAAGCCAGGGAAGAATTCCTCCAGCACCCATACCACCCACTGACACACCATCTTAAAACAACTGCCTCATCCAACTATGTAGATAAAAAAAAATAAATAGGGCTGGTATAGAAATATGGCTGCAGTACACAGAGCTATTGGATTTTTGTGCGGTGCTGAAGCCAAGACTGAGAAGGCAGAAACAGATACTTCACTCCTACTGCAATGCAATCACCTCCCACTTGCACTGGACCCCAAACTGTGCCAGAATGCACCAGAAAGCTGAAACCAGCACCTGAGATCCCAGAGCAGGAGCTGGCCACAGTGCTTGGGCTGGGATTCCAGAGATGTGGGCAATGCAGCTGTGCTGCCTGAGAGGGTTGCCTGCTGAGCAACTTCTGATCGAGACCTTACAACTTTTCTCAAAACCACTTCAGTCCTACCTTGACCTGGGCTGGAATTTCTGTGCTGCTTCACTTACAAGCAGAATCTACCCATAATCTTTATCCTAT